TTAAAAAAAAAAAAAAAAAGTACGCCACCAGGGGTCTGTAGTCAAGCTTAGACAGAACCAAACACCGTCCACCTTTTTTGATCTCTCTGGATCACAGTGGCGAAGAAGCCACAGCTTCGTACCCTTAACGTGACCCTCTCTGCTTCTCAAAGAGATGGTGGACATTTACATGTCTTCCTCAGCCCTTTGCCTCTCCCCTTCCTCCAACTCTGATCCATGTGCCTAATGAATTGTTTGTGTGTCCCCCCACCCCCCGTGTGTGTCAACTTGGCTGGGCTGTGAGTCCCAGTCCTGTGTTTATTCTCCTCCATTTTGTCCTCTGCTGTTACCCGCCTGGAGCCTGCAAATCCTCACCTGGGGACGTTAATGAGGCAGGAAGGAAATCTACAACATTAGGTTGTATCCCCAGTCCATCTCTGTTGCTTTTGTTTATTTTTTTGGTGTGTTATCGTTACTTCCTTTGCTTTGGTCTCTACCAATGGTTCTCAACCTGTGGGTCTCGACCCACCGCTCCTCTGTCCGCAGGCGGGTCCGCTCACATGCAGATACGCCCACCTGTGAGTACCCGGCATGAAGACTTACCCACGCTACTCCATACTTCAAGACAAATTTTATTTATTTGTCATTGGAAATAGATATTTCACAATATATAATGACATATTGTTTTTGTGATGAATCATTCTGCTTTACGTTCCATTTGTCACAATGAAAATACATCCTGCATAATCAGATATTTACATGATGATTCATACATAACAGTAGCAAAATGACAGCGATGAAGTAGCAACCAACATAATCTGATGGTTGGGGGCCACCACCCCATGAGGAACTGTATGAAAGGGTCGCAGCATTGGGCATTAGGAGGGTTGAGAACCACTGGTCTATAAAAAAAAAAGCAATAACCGGCTCTTGTCTATTTTTTAACTCTTTATGGTGATTGGGGCAGACGTGTACAGAGCAGGTGGCTTTCCCAGTGAACAAGTCCCGCATGTCTTGTTTTGTGGCACTGATTACAGTCCCCCCACAATGTAATAGTGCTCTTCTCGTGTCTCCCCAACATTCCCTTTCCTTCCCCGGTTCCTATTCCTTCTTAGCCGCCCCAGCTAGCTCTGCCCCTGGGCAAAGGCTGGCCTTCCCGATGGATCTCAAATGGGCGATTATTAGGAGTGTGGCCCTCCCTGTCATTACTGTTCACTTTTATAGGCCTGTCTGTTACTTGCCCAAAAGTTGAGCCAAAGTCTAGTTCCAGGCTTGCAGGCTGGTTAAGGTCTGTAGCCTTGGGGTTCAGTTTCCACCCCGAAAAAGAAGCCGGGCCTGTTTGCATATTTCTGGGTTTTGTTCCACCGTGTCCCAGCCCTCCTCTCGGGACCCCTTTCAGAGTGGTCAGCGGTGGTAGCTGGGCACCGTCTGCTCTCCTGGCGTGAGAGTCACGGAGGCTGGGCTTCGTGTGGCCCGTCAGCCCAGAGGACTGATTGTGCCCATGGGCCCCTGAGTTTCTTCATCCGTCTCTGCTTATGAGTTGCCCTAAGTAGGGAGTAGGCCAGATTATTCCCTGCCCTTTGCTTAGTGGCACATGCCCTTCCTTTCTCGCCTACACCTGGTGGCCATCCAAGTATTCTGTGTGTAAAGCCTGGAGCCTGAGTGGCGCAGTGGTTGTGCATTGGACTTTGAGCCGAAAGGTCAGCAGTTTGAAGCTTTTGACTCCCATAGGGGCAGTCCTGCCCTGTGCCAGAGGGGTTCTGTGAGTGGACATCACCTGGACAACAGTGAGTTTGTTGGGCTGGGTATAAAACCTTTTCTGGCTGTTTGCCAACGTGGGCTCAAACACCCCACAACCCTTTGGTGATTGGCATATTTCCGGGATTCCCCATGACTAACCTTGCTGGCATCTGCGAGTGTGTCCACACCACAGTTTGCTCATCTGCACATCACTAACGGGCGCTGGTAATCACCACCTTTTCGCCATTGTGGACGGCAAGCCCTGGTGGCCCCACAGCTAGTGTGTCACAAAGCGAGGCAAGTCCCGCTCTTGCAGGTGTCTTTTAGGTTTTAGACCCATGGCCACCCGACGTCCAGCAGGACACAGCACTGCCCGGCCCTGCGCCAGCCTCGCCTTTGTTGCTGTGCGACAGGCTGCCAGGTCTTTGGGGATTTCTGTTCCCCCGTGCTTTTAAGGAAGCAGCATGCCGCTTGCTCCCCCACCACCCTCACCACCCAGTGGAGGCACCGTTGGACACTCACGGGCAGTGTGGGCAGGGGTCTATCGCTCCACGCCCTTCCCACCCTCTTTTTGGTTTTGGTGGTTGAGTTTGAGTCCGCCCGTCTTGAGAGACACAAGGGATGAGGCCAGTGAGACCAGAGGGGCCTGTGGCCACCATGCGGAAAGAGGAGGAGGGGTTGGGGCGCCTCTCTCCAGGGATGGCATTTCCGATCCTCAGAGCCATGGGCTGAGCGACTCCTGTTGTCGCTGGACTATGGTGTTCAGCAGGAGTCCGGGTGGCACCAAGGTTAAGCACTGGCCTGCTAACTTCAAGGTCAGCGGCTAACTTCAAGGTCAGCGGCGTGCAACCACCCACCAGCTGCTCTGTGGGAAAAGGCCGGGGCTTTCAGCTCCTGGAAAGAGTGACAGTCTGGGAAACTCACAGGGCCAGTTCTACCCTGGCCCTTGGGGTCACTGTGAGGCTTGGCAGCGAGTGAGTGAGAGAGAATGAAGAGCGAGCCCTGGTGGGTTATACTGGGCTGCTAATCACAAGCTCAGCAGTTCAAATCCACCAGTCGCTCCACAAGAGAAAAATGAGGCTCTCTGCTACCTTAAAGAGTTATAGCCTCGGCAACTCACAGGGCCGGTTCTGCCCTGCCCCATAGATAGGGTTGCTGTGCGTCGGTAGAGAACTGGGGCATGGAGCATTGGAGTCACAATTAGGGACTGGTTTTGCCCCACAGGGGACACTGGACACTGTCTGAGACCCTCTCCTCTCTCACAGTTTTACTAAGAGGCAATTTTGGTTGTCGCCACTGGGGTGGGGGTGGGGGGGTTGTAGCTACCAGTGCTGAGTGGGCAGAAGCCAGTAGTGCTTCTACACCTCGCCACAGGACGAGGAGCCCTGGTGGCCCACATGGCCTACGGGTTAAGCACTCCGCCACCAACCGCATGGGCAGAAGCGTGAACCCAGCTGGAGAAGGGTCCCCGGGTTTGCTGCCCACGGGTGCTTCCACTCTGTCCTCTCTGCCCTGTGGGATTGCCAGGAGTGTCCTCCATTCAGAGATGGCAGCCCCCCGCCCCCCCCAGCATGGTCAATTGTCTGCAGGGCCCCAGCTCCGGCCCCCTTCCCACGGGGCCTGCCTCGCAGAGACTCACAGACAAACCTCAGAGACAGGAAGAGCCTCACAGGAAGGGAAAGAAAAGACCCGTTCCAGGCCTGGGCCCTGGTCACCTCCGTGGGCCTCACGGGGTGCAGGGCCTGAGCCACAGGAAGTAGGACGCCCTCCCACTCTCCGTGCCCCCTTCCCCCCACAGCCGCCCACAAGCCAGCGTTTCCTTAGGGACAAGAGCCAGCTGCTCAGCTGATAACAGGTAGCGAGCCCCCAAATCCACCCACTGCCATGGAGCTGATCCCGACTCCCAGTGGCTCTATAGACAGGGGAGACCCTGCCATTCTTCATGGGAGCAGAAAGCCTCACCTTTCTCCTGAGGAGCGGTTTTTAGGTTCGAACCACTGACCTTGCGGCCAGCAGCCCAACTGGCAACCTCCAGGCTTCTTATCAGCCCCATTTCACCAGTGGGGCCACCACGGCCCAGGTCACAGCCGTAAGCACAACAGTTACACCCATAGCTCTCTTTAGATGCTCACAGAACATGTGTTGGATGGAGCCTGCCCCGGTGGCGCGGTGGTTAAATGCCTGGAGGTCGCAGTTCTGCCCTGTCCTGTAGGCTCTTCCTCACTCGCTCACTGCCCTTGGGTTGATTCCAACTTGCTGACACCCTGTGAGACAGGGTGGAGCCGCCCTGTGGGTTTCCCAGGCCCTAACTCCTTAGGGGCACAGAAAGCCACGCCTTTCCCCCAGTGAGCTCACTAGGTGTTGGGTTTGATTCCACGGCACGGCTGGTTTGTTTTGGAGGGGATGGGGCTCGGCTTTGGCATATGTTGGAGTCTCTCTGGGTGATGGTAGGAGTTTACACACCCGCCCCGTTGGGAACACAAAGGCCCACCCAGGGCACAGCGGAAGAAAGGTCTGGCCTTCCACTCTAGGGTCTCTGTGTTAGAATGGACTGTCGGGCAGCGGGTTACGTGTGGTTTTTCTTTCCAGTCTTTGTGCCAGACCCTGTTTCAGGAGTGGTCCTCCACCGTTGGTGGTGGTGGTGGTGGTGTGGTGGTGGTGGTGGTGGTGGTGGTGGTGGTGGTGGGGGGGAAGCCAGGCCTGGCCCTCCCAGGGTGGGGGTGGGGGCTGGGGAGACCGCTGGGGATAGAACAATATAGGACATCAGGTCAAAGAGGTCACAGAGTGTCCGATGTGCTGCCCTTAAGGACAAAAGCGAGGGAGATCGTGGAGAAGGGTCTCGGGAGAGGGACAGACCACTAAGGCACGGTCCAGGCGGGGCGGAGGGTTCTCCTGGCCTGGAAATGCTGAGGGTGGAGGGTTGGAGGGGCCAGTGGCAGGGTGGGAGAGTTGAGTGAGGCGGGAGCCCAGGACCATCCCGAGCTGGCCGGAGCTGGATCCCTCTGGCCAGCTGGGGAAACAGCCTGGAGTGGGGTGGGGCGGGGCTGGAAGCTGGGAAAAGGGAGGAAGGGACGAGCGGTGCGGAGGGAGGGGCTGGGTTTGTGAACCGCTGGACGCTCGCTCGCCAGCAGCGTGCGCTGGGGAGGCGGTTCTGGTTCAGGGCGCCCCCGTGTGTCGGAGACTAGAACTGCGCCGAGGGCCCTCCAGGGTCATCTCTAAGGACACACAAGCCCGGGCCCTTCTTGGGTCTCTGCTTACTGATCTTCCGAGGAGCCTCTCCTGCCGGGGCTTCTCGTTTACGCTACAGGCCTGTCTGCTGTGTGACTGAAAGGGGTCCCCAGTGCAGGGTGCAAGGGCGGGTGAGGGCCACGGCTTCGGGACATCTACGATGCCCAACTGACCAGGCAGCCTGGCCTTTTTTTATGATGGTGGTGACTTTTGTCCTACAGTTTTCTATCGCTCTGCCCTGGACCTCTTATCGTGACCTGGAGCAGCGGCGGGAGCAGCGGCGGCGAGGACAGTTGTGAGAGCCGGTTAGCACCTCGTTCTAATGCTCTTAAAGGTGGGTGGTGTGAACCGACCCAGCGGTGCCCTGCAGAAAGACCTGGTGGTCTGCTTCCACCAAGATGAACCAAAAGAAACTGACGCTCACTGCCACGGGGTTAACGCTGACTCCTAGCAACAGTATAGGACAGGGAGAACTGCCCATGTGCCCTTCATAGAGCACGTTTGCTGACCCCTGGTTTAGACCCAGACCTGAGGAGGCCCCGGGTGGTGGGCACAGTGAATTATGCAGAGGCCTACTACCCTGTCTCCCCAAAAGTAAGACACCCTCCTAAAATAAGACCTACTTTCAGCTTTGCCTCTCACTGAAATACAAGGCACTCCTGAAAATAAGCGCCCCCCCCCAAGCTAACATAACTCTGGACTCGACCATAGCGGTGGGCGCTGCAGCGCAGCTGAAGCAGACAGGAAGTGCGAGGTCTCTTTTAATAAAACAATAAATGTGTACTGTATTCTTCTTCATAGAAAAATAAGACATCCCCTGAAAATAAGACCTAGCGCATCTTTGGGAGCAAAAATTAATATAAGACACTGTCTTATTTTCAGGGAAACAGGGTAAGCACAAGGTCAGCAGTTCAAAACCACCAGCGGCACCTCAGGAGAGAAGGATGAGGCTGTCTGCACCTGCCAAGGTTGACAGCTTTGGGAACCCACAGAGGCAGTTTTATTCTACCTTAAGGGGTCGCTATGAGTCAGAATTGACTTACTACTAGTGACTTTGGCCGCTCTTTTAAGGCTACTGGTGGAAAAAAGTCCTCCAGCATGGTTGGAGTGGAGAAGGGCCAGGAAGCTTCCTGGGCCCACTCGCTTCCGCACGAAGGTTCTCGAAGCCCCAAGACTATCCTTTCAATGATCACAGGGCTCTAGGTTGAGAAGCCCTGGTGGCATAGTTGGGCTGCTAATCACAAAGTCAGCAGTTCGAAACCACAGGCTGCTTCTCGGGAGAACGATGGGGCTTTCTACTCCCGAACAGAGCTACCATCTTGGAAACCCACAGGGGCAGTTCCACTCTGCTCTGTGAGGTCACTGGGGGAGGGTGGTTCTGTAGAAGTTCTCGGTTGGGATGGTGGGAGTCCTCCTGGCTCCTGTGTAGCTGTGAATCTATTTGGAAGGTGGGGCTCCCCAGTGGCGTGGATGGATAGATGGAGAGGAGGCGGGGCCTCTCAGCCTGCAGTGTTTAATCGGAGCCAGAAACGGGGCTAGGCTGTGTCAAATACAGATAAAAGCCCTCTTGGAGTTCAACTCCTTATGTAGCACCCTTTCTAGCCCGGGCTACTGGGTGATTGGTGGTGCCCAGGCCTGGGGAGAGGAGGTATAGGCTTTAGGAGGCGGGGGTTCAGGGCCTGGGCTTTGGGGAGCTTCCATTGGAGATGTCTTTGCACCAGACCCACTCCCCCACCTCCTTGTCCCTATGCCCCCCATCTGATATCTCCCCCTTGCTCTTCTCACCCACAGCCAGGACCCCCGATGCAGGCTCCAGGGAGCATCCCCATTCCTGTGCCCGTGCTCCGGCTGCCCCGGGGCCCTGATGGCTACAGCCGAGGCTTTGCCCCTGACGGACGCAGGGCCTTGGCGAAGCCGGCAGGCCCTGACACCCAGGCGTGTGGGGAATCCCAGGAGCAGCGGGCCCGCGCTGTCCTCCGGGAGCGCTTCCTGCGCAGCCTGCTGGCCATGGGGGGCCGCCAGGTGAGCTTCACTTTGCATGAGGGCGTGCACGTGACCGCCTGTTTTGGCGCCACCGACCTGGACGTGGCCAACTTCTACGTGTCCCAGCTGCAGACTCCGATAGGCGTGCAGGCCGAGGCGCTGCTGCGCTGCAGCGACATGATTGCGTACACCTTCAAGCCCTAAAGACCCGTCTGCCTTAGCCACTGGCGTCCGGGTGGCCCTGGGCTGGGGACACAGGGCTGCCCAGACACTGGAGTCCCCGGCTCTTGGAACTCTGCACCCTGGCTGATTCCGAGCTCCCCTAGAACTCGGAGGCACACCGGCTACCTGGGACACCGTGGTGGAGATGGTCAATTGCTGCACCTCCAGGAGGATTTGGGTCTTGTCTACTTCACAGGCCTCTGAACTCTGGCCGCGAGGCCTCCTGCCCGAGAGAAGCCTGGGAGGTGCGGGGCGGTGGTGGTCTGTGAGTGTGGAAACCGGTTTATTGAAGATCCCGTGTGATCTTAATGAACGGTCTAGACTTTACCTCTCTAATTTCAACTGTCCATTGCAGTGGTGACACAGAACTCAGACAAAATTCACCATGAAAGGGTTTATTAAGGAAGTTAACACGTTGTAATGCCCGTGGGAAATGCTCAGGGTGTTTCACGTCTGCTAATCAGTGCCCAAAGGGCCCTACCACTCCTCTGTAAACCTCAACCTGAAGGCATTCCGCTCTAGCTCCTTGGGCCTGTAAACCCAGCTCCCTGAATTAGGGGCCAGAGGCACCCCAGGCAGTCAGTTCCACTTCCACGGGCCTGCAAGCCCAACTCCTGAATCAAGTGCCCAGAGTCACTCCACACCGAAAGCCAGGCCTCCTGCACAAAAGCACTCGGCTTGCCTAGCTCCCTAGGCTGGGAAAGCCCATCTGTCCACGCTCTGGCTCCTGGTTCTGCGGCGGCTGCTGCTCTGATGGTACAGCTGTCATCTGCTGCGGGGGTGGGGGGGGGTGTCTCTGGGCCCAGGGACACAGTCCATTCCTGGCTCTTGCTGGCAGTGAGATCCCTCCTCCTGCTTCTCAGAGGGCTCATTTTATACACAGCAAAATGGCCCTGCAGGGACTCCTGTTTGTAATTATTCACGGGTGAATCCTATCAGTATCCTAACAGCCCCTCCGTGCACCACCTTCTTAAGCAGACCCATGCAGGAAAAGGTCATTTGATGAGAGGGAGAGACTGGCTAGAAGAGCCGCCTTAAATAATCCCCTGCCCTTCAGTCCACACAGCCCATCCATCCTGCAGACACTCCCCTTCTGTCCCTCCTGCCTGAGAACCAACTGACCTAAGAAAAGGAAACTCTTGGTTTATGTTGCTGCTGCTGCTGCTTGGTGTGTTCACTTACCCGCCCCCCCCACCCCCACCCCCACCCCCAGGGCTCGAGGCAGATTTTCAAGGTGGTGGGGAAAGAGCCCTGGTGGTGCGCCAGGTTAAGGGTTCGGCTGCTAACAGCAAGGTTGGTAGTTCAAGCCCATCAGCCACTCTGTGGCAGAACGAGGAGGTTTGGAGGATGGTGGGACACAGTGGTTGAACTCTGGGCTGCGAACCGGAAGGCCACAAACCCACCGGCCGCACAGCCTGCTTCCATAAAGATTTAGCGGCTCCCAAACCCTGTGGGACAATTTGCCCGGAGTGGGAGTGGCCCAGAGGGCAGTGGGTCTGGTTTTAGGCCGACAGAGGCTCTCCAGTTGCTGAGAAGCAGGAGCTCAGCCACCAAGTGTGGGAGGATCCTAATAAAGGCACGAGTATTAAATCACCGCTCACCATGACTGGAGGGCCCGGATCGGAGGCCCCAACTGCGCTCAGGCTTGCTGATAACGTGAGTGTTCGCCACCTGGCCCACACGGGTTACGATTGGACCACTGTGACGGTAATGCTTAGGACAAGATGATTAGGGTGGGTCAGCGGCAGAAACTTGTTTATTTTCACCCCTCCCTCCATTTTGATCGAGTCCTGTTGATCACCTACTCAGTGAGGTGTACTGGCAGCACATTTGTAAACGGCACCACCAGAAAGCAGTTCCACCCTCCTTTGGTCGTCCTTTCAGTTCAGAATGTAAAAACAAAGACTTCCGATAAAATACAGAAGAGCGGGGCCGGCCCTGGGTCCTGGAAAAAGAACAGGGCTACTGGGGAGGGAAAAGCAGGGCAAGTCTCCCCAAGACGCTCCAGTACTGGGCCACGTTGGGTTATCCCCAAGATGGGAACATACAGCCCTTGGTAGCCTTGCAGCTGTGTGGTCCATGGAGGCAGTCAACAAAGCCCCAAGGAGTGCCCAAGTCCAGGTGCCATCAGCTGGGTGACTGCACTCCCCTGGAGTCCATTGACCCTACAAGGCACAGCCGGACTGCCCGTGGGTGTCTCAGACTGTATGGAACTCTTCATGGGAGCCGGCAGTCTCCTGTTACCTTTCTCCCGCCTGAGCAGCCGGTGGGTTTGAACTGCGGACTAGGCTAGGCCCGCGTGCGACTGCGGCAATTAGGATAACTAGGATCAAAAGGCAGATCCCTCCCAAACTGGCTCCCCAGGTGCATATCAACAAGTGACAGCTGCCAAACTTCCCTGCAGGACCTGGTAGCCATTGCTGAACTAGCCACTTAAGGCAACGTGGCCGCAACCCCTTCACGAAAGAACTGTGATGCAGAGGCTGCCCCTTCTCCCAGATGAGGACCCTTCAGAAGCTACTCTTAACAATTGAGTGGAAGAGTTTCCCCAACACAGCGCGATCAAATATCTGGTGTCTCCCAGGGTGGGTGATACCTCGCCCTAGGGGACTGATCCAGGGGACAGGCTACAAAAGCAGATGCCCACACCCAATGCTGGGTGATGGGCTGTAGTGCCACGTTTTTAATCGCCAGGGGGGTGTGGTGGGCCAAATAAGTTCGGGAACCTATGGATTAAAGAGAACTTTGCCCAAGACCGGCATCTCCATCTGAAAATGATTGGCTACAGGAGGACCGGAAATGTCAAAAATGGCAGCAAGGTGGGTGAACCCCCATCTTTGATGAGTTACTACCCCAAGCCAGCAGGACAGAGACAAGGGCTGCATTTTGACAAGTAACCCGTGACGGGCGATGACAGTTCCCAAGATCGATTCCTCCAACGAGACATGGCTGCACAGGAAGATCGTGCAAGTCCTTTGTTGTGCCGTCTGGTTTGCATGCTGCATGAGAACTACTGATGCGTCCGCAGCAGAAGGGCTAGCGTCCAGCAAGGGGGTTCGGGCTTCGTCTCCAAAAGGGTCCCCCGCCGCCGCCAGCATCCATCCTTTTCATTCCACGCCGTTCCGGTCTCCTTGCAAGCTCCCCCTCCTTTGGCCTCTCCCCTCGTCGGTTACAGCCTAAACTCGCGAAGCAGCTGTTTCTTCTCTCG